AAATACTAGTGCTGAGGCGAAAATGGAGTTTGTGATTGCGCGTTTGACTTTGCAGGAAGCGCTAGTAGTGAATCTGTTTTGTACCAGTCAAGACTAAGGGCTGGGTTACATACGGCGTACGATCGTCGTACGACCAGAACCTGAGGGCAATCTTAGGATAGTCGTGCATTTTTCCTGCAAAGTTCTGCTGTCATGTGATGGAAAAGTCTGTCTTAAATCTACCGTGGCCGACAAGAACAAAATTTTACACCGCAACTTTTGGTGTTTTACACCGCAACTTTTGGTATTTTACACTGCAACTTTTGGTGTTTTACACTGCAACTTTTGCTGTGTTTTACACTGCAACTTTTGCTGTGTTTTACACTGCAACTTTTGGTGTTTTACACTGCAACTTTTGCTGTGTTTTACACTGCAACTTTTGCTGTGTGGAAAACTTACACCCCTCCCCTTTTATAATGGACGGTCCCCCTGTCAGGTCAAAGGTGACAACGATGGCATGCAAACTACGTCGACTGAGTTTAATATCCTTTTCGTGCATAAGTTTTTTAGAGGAAAAGCTTGGCTACGTTGTGACGTTAGTTTTTTTCTAAAGGCGTTTGAGTCACGTGACATTTTCTAGCTAGAGAATTCGGACTCGCAAGGTCGCTAATAATTTGATGAGTAAATACTGGGCCTTTGGGAGTCAAATGTGGCACCACTTGGTACTATGAAGCAATAAAGACTTATTTTCAATTATGAAGTGTTGACTCTTGACTCAGGTAAGTTATCGATCATTAGGGAACAATACGAGCGATCGCCATGACGTCACCGTAGGCAAAAAGTGGGTGCCAGTTGGCTGATTTGCCTACCAAGAATTTGCATATGTCTTCAAATAATTTGCATGCGTATAATGTAAACAAAAACAGCGATCGCTCGTATACAAATGTAGAATAATATTGTATACAATATTTATAGTTAAGAAGACATCTAATCAATGTTAATTAGTCAATCACTAATTTATAAACTGTCATCATGGAGGCAATACAGTGTTGTGTAAGTAAAGTTAGAACACAAAGAAGAACAGACAGAATTATAAATCATCAATTTATTCACAGCTTGATCAATTTCTTAAGATCCCATTCTGTTGATGTCTCACACTCAGTCACAGCACGACACTGTGACTCTCAGGCCGCCGCCATCTTTGTCACCTTTGACCTGACAGGGGGACCGTCCATTATAAAAGGGGAGGGGTGTAAGTTTTCCACACAGCAAAAGTTGCAGTATAAAACACCAAAAGTTGCAGTGTAAAACACCAAAAGTTGCGGTGTAAAACACCAAAAGTTGCGGTGTAAAATTTTGTACTTGTCGGCCACGGTATAAATCCTTGTCAGCGGCTGGTTCTGTAACAGATATTTGGAAATTTTACGGTATCAAAATCATACGAAGACCTACGACTAATGTGACCGCACCGGGGCCGTAATGTAATATTTTCCATACATCTCATCCCTAAAATAATTTAACCTTAATCCTGACTCTGATAAACATCTCCTTACAACCTGTACCATCTGTATTATCATCATCTGAGATTTTGTGTTTTCAATTTCGAAACATTGTAAAACC